GTATATTGATTTTTAAAATCAATAGGATAATATTAAACAATTTATCAAATTAACCAAAAAGATGCAATGCGGGGCAATTTCAAAAAGAGCACTTGATGGGACCATAAATGTCTTCAGTTACAATCTCGTTCTGCCAGAAGCTAGTTTTAGAGCATCAGGCTATACGCTTAACTTACTGTAATCCCTTCTGATAATGACGGGAGTGGTCCCCTACAAATTTACAAATTCATGAAAAGCTTGGAAATTTTAACTAACATTTTATAATAAGAAATCTGGCTTGCAAACTATGATTTATTCCTTAAGAACTTCATTAAATATAAGGCCCAGGTTCAAGCTCACATTCACCCCCCCACCCCTCTTAGGATACAGTATGAAGGGTGAAGACAGGTTCATAATCAGGGCAACAACACCCAGAAAGAGAATACGGGTGGGCTATGCTTTGATTTTCTATCCATTGATAAACTCACAACCTCATAACCACTATTAATTTATTTGGTGTCTCCTTTCTTGAGAGGGCAATTGCACATTGATAAAGTGTTAGTGGAAATAGAAAAATTTAAAATGTGCTTCTCTGGGAAATTTCAGAAGGAAAATCTGTGGTTCTTAATATCCATGCCTCTCAATCCTTCTCACTTAAGCAGTTCCATGACACACCAGACCTGTGGAGATGCTCTTATTTCAAACCTAGCATTTTATGACTAACATATGTCTTCACTTCTCACTGAAGGTCAATTTTTTAAAACTTTTTAGTTGTCTATGGTCCTTTATTTTATTTATTTATATGCTGTGCAGAGAATCAAACCCCAGTGCCAGGCGAGCACCCTACCACTGAGCAACAATCCCAGCCCCAATTCTTGAAACACTTTTCCTGGCCTTGCTGACTTGCTCTGACTTATTGTTTGTATTTTAGATTAAAGCAGAAGCTCCTCAGAGAAGCTTTCCCGGCCCATTCCATTAAAAATAGATCTTAAAAGCAAGCTAGGCCTTTTGTTTACTTCATAACACATGTCAATACTGACAGTCCTTCTCCTCACTGGTTTGACAGCATGGTTATTGTCTACATTCTCCCAGGCTCTGTGGAAGGAGGTACTTCATTTTGTTCATTCTGGGGTCCCTAGTGCCTATATTGGCATGTGGCAAGTGCACAAAAATTGTTCATTAATTAGATGAATGAAGGAAAAGTGCTTTTTTGCCACTAATGGGCTTCACTTGTTTTCTGGACATTTTGCTCTACCAAACTTGTATAGTCTGGGTTCATGAACCAGTTGATTCCTACTCAACTACATAGTAAAGACACATTTGAAACAGGGAATTGGTTTTAAGGCATGAGGCAGATGCTTATAAACTTGAACAGATTGGGTAGCACAGAAGAGGTGGCAATGCCAAGAAAGGCAGAAAATGGTAGTTTGCTCATTTGAGAACATATACGATTTTCTAGAGTGTGGATATGAAAGTATCAATGTCTCATCCTCCAGTGTGTTCACACAGTTTCAGCAGCACACTCTGCTCTCTCCTGCACACCTTCAGAGGGGATAGGCTTAGTTTCTCAATCCTGATGCTATTGCCATGCTGGGCTGGGAAATTCTTTGTTGGGAGGGATATTCAATGCACTGTAGAATGCTTAGCAGCATCCCTGCTTCTAACCACCAGATGCCAATAGCAGCTCCCTTCCCATTCTTTGGTAACCCAAAATGTGACGACATCAAATCAAAATCACCCAACAGAGAACCACTAATATAGTTAATGGTTTATGACTAAACAGCTACAACTCCATTTTGATCATTTTTTTGTGTGTGACTAATTCTGCTTTAAATCTGAAATATCAAGTTGTGCATGGAAATACAACATATGTCTTTTCAGCAAAACTTCCTAGTCAGCTTCTAATATATCACAGAAATTCAATAAATCTTTACTAAAAAAAAATGGAATAGTACAGAGAAACAGTATATAAAATTTAATATGCAAAGAGGCATTGTAACCACTTGGTGGCAGAAAATCCCAATATATAATTGTTCCCATGTCTAGCTACCAAAATAGTTTAAAATCTGAAAAGTAAGGTCTGTAACACTTTGGTACTTCTGTACATACAAGGAAATTTAACTTGCAATATCAGTAGCATTTAAACGTAGATATTTAGTTATTTGTAGATTGTGCCAGTATTTATCATGCCACAGGGTGGGGAGTAAAGAATCCTTTTAATTGGAAGCAATAAAGACTCTGTGGGGCTGGGGATGTGGCTCAAGTGGTAGTGCACTCGCCTGGCATGCGTGCGGCCAGGGTTCGATCCTCAGCACCACATACAAACAAAGATGCTGTGTCTGCCAAATACTAAAAAATAAATATTAAAAAATTCTCTCTCTCTTTCTAAAAGTATTAAATGGCCTGAAGCCTGAAACAAAATAGTGAACAGAAAAGGTGTAGGCCCAATACTCGGGCAGCAGGGAGTGCAGTGTGGAATGCAGCAGGGCTGCACTGAGCTTGCGTCTTGCTTTGCAATCAAGTAGATGTGGATTTGAATTCTGACTGCCAGTTGGCTGATGTGGGACTTTGGACAGATCATTCTTCCTCATAGTTTCCTCGGGTATAGAATAGCTAAAATACTCTCACCTACCTCCTAGCTAACATGAGGATAAAGTGATAAGGTGTATAGAATGTGTAAGATACTATAGCAGGAATTCTACCATTGTCAATAACTGCTAGATTAGCATTATGGTCACCTAAATTCTTATTAAAATACACATTTCTATGACATCCTGCCAGATTTCAACTCAATAGATCTGGGAAAAGGTACTTGGAATATGAAAATAGAAAATCACATGAAGAAGTGGCCCTGGCCAAGTGAACACAGTTGGAACCACGCTTTTCTGTAATTGTTTCATCAGATGATTTAAAAAAAAATATCTCTGCCTTAAGCAGTAACTAAAAACCACAGTTCCTGGACAAATGACCAATAGAAAAATTCTCACTCAATACAGCGCAGAACAGAACAACTCAAGAGGGCATAAAAACCTGCTTGCTCTATAACCAACAATTTGAGAGAAATTTGTTCTGAAGCTGAAACAGCAATTATTCACGAAGTTATTCAGTGCTTTCAGGTTTACATGTGATACAGTATGTGGCAGACATCAACTTTTATTTACACTCTCCTTCAGACTGTGTATCTGAAAAGCTAATGCTAGCAACCACCAAAGCCAGTGGCCATTAGATTTGAGGATGTCATGGGAGATAATGAAAGGCCTGCCTACTGTGTTTCCAAAAATATTTTTATATGGCTCTTCTTACCGATTTCTGTGGTGTACCTGGAGCCAATGTGAAGGCAGCATTTGTGCAGCTAACTAAACATTTGTGTGTGTGTGTGTGGGGGGTGCGCACGCACCTGCATGTTACTGCCAAGCATACACAACAAATGCTAATTTTGTTGCCATTTTTCATTTAATATATGCTGGCTTCCAAATTTATTCTGACATTATGAGTCACCATTATCATTACAGTTTCCTCCATTCACTAATTCAATTATTTCAGATCATTTTTTACAGATACATCCATTTACTTTTTTAACTGGACATTTCCATAACCGTGTCTACCTCTAGCAATGTAAAGAATTCCAAAGATGGAAGCTTACTCGTTCCTCCTAATGAATAACAAAAAGTTTATTTAGTGTTCCTCACTGGTCCTACAATGAACCTATAAGATGAGAAATGCTGATATCAAACTCATTATTAGGAAATGAAAAAGAAAAAGAATAAAGAACACAGACAATGTGGTAAGAGGTGTAAAAAAGTGGAATTGTCAATACTTCATTCTGTACAAGTTTGGTAGAGCAAAATGTTCAGAAAACAATAATTGGAGAGATCATAGGTACACACAGTAGGACAAAGTTCACAAAGAGTCTTTATTTTTTTTCATTTTCTGTTTGTGTTCTTTCTCTAAGACTTTTAGAACTAGTCTTATTCCTCTGTAATTACATCACTATCAAACTGTGGTTGTATGTGTTCCTTCTGCTCTCTAGTAATAAGAAATATTATGTACCTACTATGTGCCAGATATTGTTGTAAGAACTTTACATGTATGTACTAATTTAATATTCTGAACCACCCTTGGATGTTACCACAATTACCGCCTACATTCTACAAATGAGTCAAGAGTCTTAGTGAAGCAACTTTCTGTGTACATCAGACACAGGCATGTATTACAATGATAGAAATTGCTTATAAAATATTTGAACCTAATTGTCTGTGTTTTTTAAGTTTTCTATTCATGATACCTATCAGCATAAGACCAGGGGTAGGAAGCTTTTAATATAAAAAGCCAGATAATAAATATTTTGCACTCTGTGATTCACATTCAGTCTGTCATATATCCTTCTTTCTTCCCCTATATTTCAGAATTTTGCTCCACAAAATTCTGAAATATAAAAACCAACACACACACACACACACACACACACACACACACACACACACACACAGCCTTTATTTTATGTCACCAAACAAAACAGGCAGAAAACCAAATGAGGCCTGAAGCCAAGGTTTGCAGACTCCCTAGCTACCCTCCTAACCACTATACTGTTCTCTCTGGAGTGAAATTGACTGTGAAGCTCTATTGTATGCATTACTTTTTACTTCATAAGTTTTCCTTACCTCTACCATTTAAAAATGGAATCCAGATTCACCTGGTAACCTAAAGGCAACACAAACAAAACTTCTCTGAATAGCAAGATTCTGCCAATTTTCTAAAACCCTGAATGCCACCTGCCTTGGAAGACCAGAGATTATTTTCATCTTGCCTTCTAGCTGTTTTACCCTCAGCCCAAGCTGCCTTATGGTGTGGCAGAGCCTCAGATGCAGCAGGCCTGGTGAAATTCCTGCATGAGTCTCATACTCCACATTCACACATCCCACCACAGCCTGCCTGGGATTCTATTCTTTAGAAATCCTTCACAGTATACTCCTTATTTTTACCAGGGCTTAGGACCCAGGGTTTCCTTTTCCCTAAAATTCCCCTTTGGGTTCTGATAGGAAATGGAGAATGGATAATATACTTGTGGCTGGGATGGTTAATAAAGGAAGTCAGGAGGTTGGAGATAGGCCCTAAGTTTCCTATTTTGTTGGTGTAGGTAAAATACCCACTTAAAAAAAATAAACAAAATGACCTTCCTTCTTGGCATTTGTGTTCCATGCAACACAATTCTGGCCAGTGAAACCTCCTAATGGACACTCTTGGGAAGAGCTTCTGGAGGCGGCAGCAGATTTGCTAGCATGCCTCACTTTTCCTTTGCCCTAACTCCTTTGTGCCTCAACAGTGGACATAATGGCAGGAGGAAAAGCTGCCATCTTGTATCTGACTCTGACCAAAAAAATCCAGGAAAATCACAGACACTTGCCCCAACAACAGCCCTACACTGCCTAATTCTGGAGAGTTAAATAAGAGGGTGGAGATCAACTGTCTTATTTAAAACATCATGATTTCGGTTATTATATGCAACTGAACAGAATTTCTACTTAATATACTGCCTTCTCCTAATTCACTTGTTTCTAATATCACTTTAGTATTTATCATCCTCTGCTAGGTGTGCACAACAATAAACGAAGCAAATATCCTGATCACCACCAAGGATTGTGCTTCTTCTATAGTCGATGCATCTTTAGGACACATTGCTCATTACAAATGGTGCTGACCACAATAGCTACAAAATTCCCACAGGGCTTTTTTTTGACAGCTTCTTGATTTCTGACAAATAAGGAGGAACTGCTGGCTGTGTGTGTTCCTCCTGAGCTACAGAGTTAAGTTAATCATACCAGGCCTCGGGCTCCTGACAGATTTCTCTCTTAATTTTGCCTTTTCTTCCCTACCCTTTATTCCATCACCCATAAGTAAATAAATATATGCTGAACATATATATATATAAATATATGCTGAACATATATATTAAGTATATACATTATTCTTTTTGCTAATTAGACATAGGCTTATTTCTACCTCTCAATAATAGATTCTTGTGAACATTGTCAAATTCTTTTTTATTTTTACAATTTTTATTAGTGAATTCTAGTTGTACACAATATTGAAGTTCATTTTGACATAATTATACAAGCATGGGCTATAATTTGCTCCAATTTAGTCCCCAATACTTCCACTTTCTCTTCATTTTTCCTTGCCCCTGTTCCCCTTCCTCTACTGGTCTTTTTCTATTTATTTTTAGTTTTTTTTTATTTAATGCTTTATAGATATAAATAAAGGTGAAATTTACTATGGGGTCAAATTCCTTAATGTGTCTGTTACCTATTTCTTTATTTCTTGAAATTGCTTCCGAATGTTGGCCTCTTTTTTCTCTGAAAAGATACACTAATGATATGCATAGCTTCATATTTTCAAATATTATCTTACCTGTTTTTTGTCAAGTGATAATTTTGAAAGGTCTTCATGACTTCCCAAAATTCCAAATTTCTTTTCTTCATTTCTCTTTTAAAGATAGATGGTATATTAAGTACAATCGACAGCTGATTTAATTCTTTAGTCCATATTTTAAAAGCTAACTGGTCTAACTCTTGAAGTTTTAACAAGAAAAACACATTCTCATAGGTCCAAGCACTTGCCAAAAACACTTTGGATAAGTTCTTGGACCTTTCCTGTGGATGCCAAATTCTCTCAGGTTGCAATTCCAATCAGACACACAAACTGCACACTCTTTTGTATTAAATAAAATATGCGAATTTTCCATACAACTCACTGAGTCCGGTAAATCATACATCTGGAAGAAGAACATCGGTGGAACATTTTTACAAAATTCCTACAATCTAATTACTAAATTTCAAGAGGCCTTTAGAAATCTCAAAGCACTTTTACATGTTTATTTGACTTGATTTTCATGATGTAGATGTAATTGTTATTCCTATATTACAGTTGTGGCAACTAGAAAGAACTTAAAGAGCTTGTTACTTGAGAACCCCAGGCAACAAGTGCCAAAGGGAACAGCAATTCGAGTTATGTTCCCCTTCTATTCAATGATAGAACTGGATCATGGTGAGGGACCTCCATAATCATTTGGTCCAATTGCCCACCAACTTAGGAAGAAGAATCTTGTAGAAATTCCTAATATCTGTCATCCAGAATTTATTATCTGCAGTTTTAGAGAGTTGTCTACTTTCTAAGACAGCCCGCTGCGCTGTTGGACAAATCTTATTGTTCCAAGTTTGTTCTCACATAAAATTAAAATTGAAGTGTTTGTAACTTTTGCTCATTACCTCTTTTCCTAGTTTTGAAGAGACAAAAATAAGTGTTTTTCCTAATAAAAAGTGGGTAGTCTAAAAATATTCTTGTTCCCCTTCAATTTTCCTTTTTCAGAAAAAACTTCCCAGTCCTTCAATTCTCCCCAATATGACAACATACCTGTCCCCATCCTAGTCCTCCTTCTCTGGGTTTACCTAGTGTCTCCACATCTCTTCTTGGTGCAGTGTCCTGCTACCAGCAGAGATCATTGCACAGGGAAAACCTCTGCCCGGGACCCCCAATGATACACAACACTCTTCATGTGCTGTAAACACATTTGAACATTTTGCAAGCATCCTACCCTCTCTTTTATGTCTTCTTGCAATTGCATCAATTCATGGGATTATTGTTTCAAATCAGTATACTTGGCCCTTTCTTTCTAAAGCTATTCAGTGCCAACACTGGTCTACCATGTAGCATGTGAGCAATTGATTTTTGAACCAATGTAAAAGCTATTTAAGCGTGTGCCAGGTTCCCTCCTGTCATAAACAATGGCTGATGCTTTACCTGGCTCTGTAAATGGATGGTGAAATAAGGAACTTGTAGCCACCATGCCAAACATGGGGCCCAAAATAACTCTCCCTTTTGGTACCCACTTCAGATAATGTAATATATTATTTGAACAGCATTGTGTAACTTTTCCAAAGTGCTTGTGTCAAAACACATAATGCAAAGAACAGTGTTGCATTTAATACATTAAAGAACTTGTATTGGGGGATGGATGGACATTTCATCATAGACTGACACTTTTTAGAGTGTGGCTCAGTGATCACAATGGTCATAGTGTTTAAGAGCATAATGATAAAGATCAACTAAATTACCTTATTCATCTCTGTATCCTCTTGGAAACCTTTTTTATGACCTTGAAACAGCTCAGTAATCCATTTTTTAAACTTCAGTAAGAGATAAAACAGGGACTTTGGACTTGGTACCAGGTTGAAGGGAACAGGAAGTGTTCTTCCCTCTTCAAAGTAAGAAAACCAAAGTTTCGCCCTTGCAAATTTCCACTCCACATCAGCGTCATCCTACACAGATACACATGACTGTTCAGCAGGGAAATGCACATACACACAAAAATTGTTCTAACACTCTGAAAAATGCTCCAGGATTTTTTCAAAATTTTAATGCTTTACTCACACACTCTTTTCTAAATATATTTAAAATTTTGTTAGTTTTACCAATTACAGTTCTCAAAACTCACGTGTGTTTATAAATAAATACACTGAAAGATAAAAATATATTTTCCTACACTCTGAAAAACACTGAATAATGATCTCTCTTATTCTGTAATCGATCACTCATTATTCAGTACACAGACCAAGATTTCTTGAATAAAAACTATCATTATCACTATCACTATCACTCCCAACTTGAGAAAAGATAGGTTTTAAATATCACTCAAAAAAGATGGGTAATAGTGTTATTCATAAGCAATAGTTTTTGAATATTTTAAAATAAAGACATTTATGCTCCTTATGCCTTACAGTTCCACCACCCCCCTTCTATATTGTGTACAGAATTAAAATTTTCTGGATTACTGGGTTAAATAAATAAACAGGGAAACAATAAAGAAAGACTAGTAATTCATACTTCATCCCACTGCTTAGCTGGGGATAATAATAAAATATGAAACCACAGACTATACAGATGTGTAGAAATTGTACCTCAATTTCCTGGAATGAACTGTTAATCATTGCAATTAGCATATTTAGCAAAACAATGACCATTGTAACATTGTAGACACCATAAAGAACATAACCGATGTTTTCAATGAATTTGTGATTATAGTTGATGACCACTGATTTCACTTCAGAAAGTCCAAATATAGCCCAGAACAGTGTCTTAAAACTCTCCTCAACTCTGGGGACAAAGAAAACAAAGAAACAAAGTAAGAAAGTATATAAATATATATAGTAATAGTAGTAAAATCAATAGTAAAATTGAGTTGATTCAGTAACATTGAACTTCTCTTTTCTGTCAAATGTATAGAATAACATTTATTTATTTATTTATTTATTTATGGTGGTGCTCGGGTTTGAACCCAGGGCTTAATGCATGCAAGGCAAGCACTCTACCAATTGAGCTATATCCCCTAGAATAATATCTAAGATCGTTGCAAGCACTGGTGATAGTGTTCTTAAGAAGCATGTAACTTGATATGTATGGCACAGAATAGGCAATCAATAAATGCAATAACATAACTTCATAACCAAAGATACTAACATTTAAATAACTGATAATTTTGACAATGAAAATGTTAAGTGTATTGCTTAATAAAAATAATATAACTTGTTAGAGTCTTCTTAGGTCTCTGGCTCATCTGTGCTTCTACTCATACCTAATAAATAAAAAACAATAGAATGCATCTTAAGGAAAAAAATAACAGTGTACACAAGTCAGTGTTACCCAAATCACTGACATGCCTTAGGTAGAAATTCCAGTGCTTTAGGCATAATGACTCATCAGAGCTAAACCCATCTGCTTAACCCAGGTGGTTTCATTTCCCTGAAAAAAAAAATGAACTTTAGAAGAATATGGAAAACAGTAGGTTCTGCTTCAGTTGATTTTTCTCATTGTAATACTGAAGATCTAACATTTGAGTAATCTATTCCAAACAGATTTTATAAAAAACACATGTGCCCATGGTGAACTTTAGTCAAAACTCTTGTTATCACTGATAACTTGAACTTTTCCAAAAATAAATTCTGAGAAATTGAATTAGGAATGCAGCTGTTAATCGTATTCAGTGCCCCAGATCCCTAGTAAATAGGAGAGCATTTTAGGGCAATAGATGCTAGTCATTGAAAAGAGGCTACATACTGGCTTTCCCACATACTAGAAGCTATGGAACATTTGGTAAATTATTTAACTTTTGTGAATTTCAATTTCCTTCTTCTGTGGAATGTGGATAATTAAGTTATTCTTAAAGGTATTTCCTACAATAACTGGCTCTAAAAAAGTTAGCTGTTGTTATTTTAGTTTCCTATGTTTTAGATCTCATTTTAAGATCTCACATTTTGCTAAAGAACAAGAGAGGAAGTCTTTACCCAAGCATGGAATTATATGAACAATGCTAAATGAATGCTTATTCAATCGGCAATTTCCATCATCGAGACAGCTGAGACAACGTACGTTGTGAAGGCTTCATTTTGTTTTGCCCCAATGTAGTAGGAGTAGAGGTTGAACATTCCAATCATAAAGGCCACGAACACCATGATGAATATGACCATGAACTTGAAGATATCCTTTACTGTTCTACCAAGTGATATCTGCAGAGGTCCAAAGCTTTCATTTGCAGGTAAAATATATGCTATTCTGGAGAAACTTAAAACTACAGCAATTGCATAAAGACCTTCAGAAATAATTTGAGGATCAGAAGGGTCCCACTTTATCCTGGCTAGGAAAAATCAAAGACAAGAGTGATGGTAAGTTTCTTATGTAGATAACTTCTTTTCTGAGAAAAAAAATCATAAATAATTACATTAAAAATATAGCTCACAAATGAAGTCTCTGATCTTAAAGGGTTTCTTTAGTGTCAGCTATATTCGAGCTTCTGACATTCATTGAGAAGATGATGACTTCTAGTTTGCTAGCAATTTCCCATAAGGGTATAGCATAATATTTAAGTGCTGAACCTATAGACTCAGTAACTGAGAATTCCTGTACATTGATTAATCAACTATCAATATAATATTGATAATCACAACTTATTCAAATTACTTTTCTCTTTGTTTATTTCCCCCCCCCCTAAAAATGAGATAATGTCACTCCCATTTCTCTTATCTGTTGTGAAAATTCAGTAAGTTTACATATATTCAGTGTTTAGAAAGTATCTGGGCACTTAATAAATTGTAGCTCCTATTTTTTAGTCTTAAACTAATTACACTGTAATGTAATTTGGTTCCTGTGGAATACTTGCAGTTATTTAAACTTACTAGAAATAATTTCTATCAGTTCTTCAAACAAGTCTATTTTACCACAAAAATGTTGCAAAAATTCATTTGTGAATTATTTTGGCATTATTATATCAAGTCATCAAAAACCCAATCAAGAAAACCATTATGGAGGAAAAAGCAAAACACTGCCAGAGAAAATATAAATTTGTATTCACTTATTTTCTGAATAGTAGAATTAGGAAAAGATAATAAAAAACTAATAAATGTAGTTTCCTTTTTATAGTGCTTTGAATAGTAACATTATATATAAATAGAAATCTTCTAAAAATTATTCATATTTTTAAAGTATTTAAATATTATAATAAAAACTAAAAATTTATAATGCAAAGAGGAGACCTTATATGATATAGCCATGAAACCCACAAAGGTGCCAATTAAGTGTTAGCCTGTTATCAGAGGGTTTGAAATAAGTATTAAAAGGGATTATATTTTTCCCAACTCCAATTTCTAACAAGGAGGAGTTTTTCTTAAGCAAATAACTGAAACTATTTCCACCCCTTAGTCATTTGTCTCCTGGGAAGATAGGGGACTTATCTGATTGCTAAACTGGGATGACTGACTAATTGGGTGTACATGGCTCAGCACTACCCTCTTAGGAATTCTTCTGTGTCCTCCACAGAGGTATCTCCCATGATTAGGTGCTTGCTGCCACCCACTCCTGGTGGGAAGGACTTCTCTAGTCCATTGCTGTTTGGAAACTGGGAGAATAAGTCTTCCTAATTCTAGGATTCAATATTATCAATCCCATTGACTAATAGATCTATGTCATCTACCCTAAATTTCATTAGTATTTGAGCTTACTATAGGCCTCCACATTGTTTTTTAGTTCAAAGCCTGGTTGGGAAATGGTGGTATTACTTATTTTACTGTGAGTACTGAAAGAACTCAAATATTCCTTTTTGCTTTCAAATAAGTTACATGTCTTTAAATGGAAGTAGCACTCAATTGTGGATTTTTAAAAATTATATATATATATATATATATATGGGGTATGATATACTGTTTTGACACATATGTGTTTCATAATGATTAAATCAAGCTAATTAACATACCCATTGCTTCACATACTTTTTTTCATGTATATCGAGAACACTTAAAATCTACTCTCTTAGCAATTTTCCAGTATATGGTACATTATTATTAACTATAGTCATCATGATGTACAACAGAACATCAGAACTTATTCCTCCTAACTGCAACTTTATACAGTTGGTCATCTTCTCCCCATTTCTGGAAACCATCATGACTCTACTATGAGTTAGACTTTTTTTAGATTCCACACATAAGTGAGCTCTTGGAGTCTTTCTGTGCCTGTCTTATTTCACTCAGCATAATGTCTTCCAGGTTCATCCATGTTGTCATAAATGACAAGCTTTCCTTCTTTTATAAAGCTAGAAAGTATTCCATTGTATATAAATAATTCAAATGCAAACTATTTATTGACAAAAGAAAAATAATCTAAGAGATGAGATAGGTAATAATGGAAATTGATTGTTAGCCGTTTGATCCAAGTGATACAAGAAGATGATTCTCGTGATTAAGAGAGATTTCTACCCAGTAGATAAATCAAAGGAAAAAGCACAAAGTAGGACTTTTCATTTACAGATGCTCATTCTTCAAATACAGATGTTTAAAACTAAATAATAATTTTAGGAGAATTGGGCAGTTACCGACTACTAGTGACATCTCTTGTATAAGAAAATTCTGAATTTTTATGAATTTATGTAGACTGCATAATGAAAACTCACCCAAATTGTAGTATTTCACATTGTCTCCCAATGTAACTTTTGTCAAGTCCTTCAAAGTATCATTTGCATCAATGATGCTCTGTGCTTTGGAAGCATGCCAAAATGCCATGAATCTTGCAATGAATGATGCTGCAAAGATTGCTAACATACCAAAATCAAGCATATTCCACAACTCAAATAAGTATTCTTTGGGGCCTTGAGTCCAAATTTCTTTACATTCAGCCCATATCATGCCTGCATCAAAAAGAGGTTAAAATATCAAGTCAATTTCATTCCAGCCTTAGCTCTTCCATGAAACAAAATAAAATTGAAAGTTCTCAGCCTGATAGTATTCCATTGTATATAGATAATTCAAATGCAAACTATGTTTACTGATAAGAGAAAAATAATCTGAGATGAGGGAACCATCATCAATAGATATTGGTTGTTAGCCATTTGATCCAAATGATACAAGAAGATGATTCTCATGATTAAGAGAGATTTCCTTTTCAAAATCCTTCCAAATTTGGCCCCAACTTTCCTTTACAGCCATAATTCTCACATGCCCACCAATCTCACAGTCCAGCAATATCAGTATATCACCTGAATGCAATCTGACAAACTTCATCAAGATGCCTAAAACAAAAAGCATTCTATCGATCTATTATTTGTACACATAGAAAAATGTTCAGAAGATGTTCATTATAATACCCAAAACACACAAACACTCTTACACACTTAAAATAGAAAAACCAAAGGGACTTCCACAGATAGGCAATCAAACAGGGATTTGATATGATACCTTATTAATTTTCATGGGGAGATGGGACCATGAGAATGTGCTTTATTGACTTCCAACTACAGGAATTTTATTGTCCATGGACCTCAGGTACTACCTTCTGAAAATCATTATATCTTTTAACCAAGGCTTTGCCTCCCATGGCTGCTCCTGGCCAATGACTGAGGGTGCCCCTTCTTAGGATCCATGGGTCTTTTCTAATGGTTCACCTTGGCTCAGGATTTCTTGCCAAACTTGCTTTAGTCTACATTGAGAACTAGGATGCCCCCAACCTAAGATGATTTCCTTCCCTCTCTAAAACCCTTAGAGTTAGACTTGCATCCAAATTTGAAAATCCTTGCAACCTTCCCAGCAAGATCTTCATTTTTCTCTCACAAAAAGTGTTCCTTAATAAAATGTCCATTTTTTTCCCAATCCAACTATTGTACATTTAATCATTGTGCCTGTTTCTTGGAGGACCTAACACACATCTGAAAAATCGTTATGCCATAAAGTTAAATTTTAAAAGTTTAAAATATTATGTACACTGTGAGTTCACATTTAAAACAAGCATAGTGAAAGATGAGAAGAAGTTACAGCAATTAGTACATATTCTGTTTCTTAATTTGGAGATTGTTACTTGATTAAAAGTAAGTTACTTTAAGATACCCTGCTCTCTTACATCTGTCTGACCCTCTAGCCATCTGAGGAAATATAATCCAAATACCAACAACTAATCAAAACCTCCTTCCACCAAGAGGACTTTCAAAGTCTATGGTTAAAATTAGTCTTCTCTGCTTACCCTCAGCAACCACCTGCCCCAAATTCTCACATTTGTCCTAAATGTCTGTCACAGAACCTGCCAAATAAATGGCCATGGAGCCCTGTTGAGATGAAGAAAATGTCATGGTCTCTGCCCTCCAAGAGCATGTCATATGGTTTTCTCAAAAGCGGCATTCAGTGTAGCATACAAAATGTGAACTTGAGACAACTTCACTAATGCTTTTCAGCTCTTTCAAGTTAAAAAGGGGTAAGAATTGAATTCACATGTACTCTAGTGGGTCAAATTTGTAATAGGAAATACTTCATGAGTGCATTTCTCCCCGTCCCGCCCCCGTCTCTCCTCTCTGTCTCAAAACAGAAATGAAAAATCCTGCCAGCCTCAACAGGAGATGAGGATCATTCAGAGCAACAAGCATAGGGACTACAGACTGAAGCGACATCTGAATACATACAGTCCAGCAGTTTTCAAATCTTCCCTTTCTCTATCTTCTCTCTCTCTCTCTCTCTCTCTCTCTCTCTCTTAATAGAATTCTTGGTACAAATGATGCCTTCCTGAAGCTTACACACTAAAACAAAAACCCTGAACTATTTTGCCTGAAGCGAGAGTGTCTTATTTCTCCTCTCTTCTCAAATGCATCTGGAGACAGGTGCTTGCTCCTTCTAAAGGCCGCTCGTCCCACTGTCAAATTTTCAGGAATAGCCCTTCAAAATGGATCTGTTGGTTCTATTTCTGCCCTCTAGAGCAGTAGAGAATGAATCAGCTCCCTCTGCCTCTAAAATTTTTTAACAAACAACCCACTTGTGTGCTCATTAAATTTGTTCTTCTCCAGCAGGACAGGTTTAAGGTAAAGCTAATGAAGCTTCAGCTTTGAGATAACCCTACTTGCCTATGCTTTGTCCAGGGCTGTTTTGTCTTCTTTTTCTCTAAATAGGGCCCTCCAAATAAATACGCCTCAGGTGTCCTGGATCTCACTCAACCCCTTACCACCACCCCTAGTCTCATTGGTTTAAGCTTGCCATTCTGCCTTGTCAAGACATCCTGAAACATTAGCTCTATCCTTCAGCTTTTTTTCCTCCACTAAAAATTAGATAAGTTTGAATTCTGTGATCACTAATGTTAATCTGTTCCCTCAAGCGAATGTAATACATCCAGGCTCTAAACTAGATAGGCCACTTCTTATTAATATTTCCAGAAGGTTCTACAACAATTTAAAGGGAAATAATTACCAGAGTCAATAATTGGACCAGGAGTCTAACATGCTATAAATACATAGCTATCTGTTTTGTGTTGTTCATTATTTTCCCTTTAAATAAACACAGTGAGATAGTCTCTGAAGTGAAATACAAAGGTGAATAGGACAAGAATTCCAAGAAAAATGCTTTTATTCACAAAAGTAAAGGTTAATTTAATAGTTTTGGTTTACATTTCTAAATGAAAAAGAAAAAAACTTCTGAAGTTTATAATAAAAAAGTTACTATGAGGAGGGTAGATCATGATAAAGAAAGAAATGAACATTCATCTTCTCTAATGTTCTTGTATAAAACTTAGTTTTTTCAAAGTTTCATCTTGAACTAAAAGAATCTTGCCTAATAGGTATTCGGTATGAAATGCTAGCTCTACACAGAAGTAACATAGACTCTTAGTGAAAAATCTAATTATCTGAAATTTATTGATTATTTTCTATGCACCAAGCACTGTATTATGTATTGTACATATTCTAATACATTTAAAATAAACTGTAGCACCTAGGTTATTAGTCTAATATCCAAAGGCTATTTTTTCTTAAGTCAGATATTAGAGGTGAAATGCAATTTGTTTAGTTTCATCAATTAAATTAGAAAAGAAATAGTGAAGGGGCTGGGGCTGTGGCTCAGCAGTAGAGCATTCACCTCGCATGTGTGAGGCACTAGGTTCGATCTTCAGTACTACATAAAATAAATATTAAAAAAAACTTATGAGTCAACAAAGAAACCATAATAAAAAAATGAAAAAAAGAAATAGTGAAAATTAAAGAACCCTTCTTTATTTTAACTTTATAATTACTTTAGTGATAAAATTTACATGTTAAGCTACTAACTACTTAATCTTTTTCTTTCAAATGTATCCAGAAAATGAAGAGATTCAAAGTTTCGAATAAATAACTCTCTAATGTATGTTGAATTAACTCACATGCATTTGAAATGATTATTCAATAATTTTCACAGTTCTTCCTCATATTTCAATTGATCATCCCACTTGGCTCTAATGTGAAGGAGCCAAAAAAAAAAAATGTTCTGGCCCAGAAGTAAAAGAAAAGTGATTAAGATTTCTCTCCAAGTAACAGAAGGGAGGTGAGATGGGAAAGGGGGGTCTGGGTGGGAAGAAAGCTATGGACTATTAAAAGTCCAGTAGGCAGATCCCCTGTGCTCTCTTCTTTTGACACCTATATAATACCACCCTAGGTAACTTTATGCATACTCAGAGCCTTATGTGCCACTTGGAAATTGAGGATGGCTGGAATTTAACCATCAGCTTTTACCAGAATCATACTTTCTATTACCAAGCGGACATTTCCACCTGGAAATTCCATGGGCATTTCAAAGCCAAACTCAAACGTATTTATCAACTTTTCATTCTCCTAGTCCCAAGCATGGACTTCCTTCTATATTTTTCCTCTTACAGAATTTCAGTCACCATCCACCTACTGATCTATGAATCCACAGATCTCCCTTTCAATGTGTAAGAATCACCAAGTTCCTTGCAGTTTATCTTTTAAGCAGCTCTCAGGTCCTTTCCACCATCCCCTGAGTTCTGGCCCTCATCCTCCTCACAGAGATCACATAACTGGGTCTCAGCCTCTGGACCTACCACTCATGGAAGCCACCTTTTTACCCCAGAACCACTTAGACCTTTCTGAAATGTGATCTGATTACATCATCAACCACTGAAAATCTCCTCTGTCCATTTCATCACCCTTATCTCCTCTTACCCACATCCACAAACACCAGACCCTGGAGTCTCACAACTCTGCATCTAATGTTCCCAAGCCTTGCAGTATCCCTCTCTCTCAAACACTCTGTCCAGCTAACATTTCCTTTTCCTTGAAGTCTCCAATTGAAGCTACTATCCAGGTAAAACTTCCATGCCCCTTCCACATTTCACCTCACTCAGATTTAGATGCACAATTTGTATATATTCATAAGATCTTAACAGTTCCCAAAGTATAGCATTTGTCACGTTGAGCTTAATTACTGATTGATTTATTGACTTTTCTCCTAGACTTACCTTTCTCAAGTGCAAAAACTGCTTCTCATTCACCTTAGTGTCCTTATTACCTCACAAAGACACTTAATAGCTATTGAATTTCTTTATTAATAGATACACATTTGAAATGTTTGTCTCACTTGTATTATATTTAATGTCAAGACATGGATATATTGAATTCTAAGGAAAAACCATATAGTGAATAAGACTGAATTCTTTCTCTTTATTTGTCATTTGAGAGATCTAAAGCAAGCTATTTAATCCTCACATAAATCCAAAAGATAGATGTTATTAATTATTACATGCCAGAAGACTGAGGCACAGAGAGATTATGTGATTTGATGTATTTTACGTAAAGTGCTTTGAAAAATTCCTGGCACATACGATAAATATTTAATAAAAGCAAGGGGCTATTAGCTTCAGTTTCTACTAAATCTCAACATAAAATCATGTGGTTGTATTCAAGTTTGAAATCCCCGCTCTCCAAAAATATGAATGATAGTTCTTCATCACCAGTAGGGTTTGTTTAATACCATGATGTTCTCTTCCTGTTTTTTTTGCTTTGATTTTTTTTTGTTCTTGTTTTGTTTTGTTTTAAAAATGCAAAAAGCACATGGTATATGAGGAGACTAGGACATCACTAATGAACCCAAGGCAACTGTGCTTTAAGAACACAAAGGAAATCATGATGTGTGATGCATTGTGTCATGCTGCATATATTTGTATAATTGATGTGTGAAAGAATCAGTGTCATTCAGTCCAACTGCTAAGCCTGCAAAAAGAAATGATGACAGAAAATCAGCCTTTACCTATTACCCAGGATATAATGAGCATCTCCATCCATGAGAAGCAGGATGTTTTCATCCTGAACAGCTGTTTTGCATTATCTGTGCTGGTTTCATTAGGAAGAAGTTTGGTGCCTTCAAATCTGTCAGCTGCATTCATGACTAAAAGTCCCAGAAATATGGTGAAGGAGGCTGCATGTGCTACAAACTTCATGAATGGTCCACGCATTATCTTTCCTATCTGTCATAACACACACCAAAAGAAAATCTTAACTTTGTTTTGTGCATTTTGCAAAATACGTACACATACATATAAGAAAAAAACTTCTGCACAATTATAAGTCCTCCTAAAATAATTATTCATATTTATATAATTGGTGTTATAATCATATTTCCATGCCATTATAACATTTTGATCACATTCTTCACTTATATGTGCTGATGTACTTACTTAATAGTTGAATAAACCAAATTTTACATCAAGGATATTTAAGCTCTTAAGATACTATATGATATTGGTGAAAAAACACAGAACATATATCAGGGCTATTCATAGAAAGTAAATTAGTATAGTAGGCTTTAAGTATTGAGGAAACAATGAAAGCATTGAACTGACTCTTCGTTGCAGTGTATAAATCCCTGTTGTTGCCTTTACGTCTACTTCATTGATGTTCATGCCATTGAGGCAGCTGAAGTTGCTATCCTGGTGAAAGTATAAGTGGATTAAAAGTCATGAGTGCCAAGAAGAGAAACTCCCAACTGAGGACAGGGTGGGAGAACAGTTCCCATAATATATTGGAACAATGTTCTGGAAGGATGCTGGATTTAAAGTCCAACATTTCAGGTGAGATTCCAGCTTCATTCTCTCATCAACTGAGTGACAATGAGCACATTTCCTAAATTATATGAAAATCAGATTCTTCGTAAGAAATATGGAGATGGTAAAAACTATAGTGTCCCTATAGTATAGCATTTATTTTTCTGAAATGCATAGATCTTAGCCTATGGAAACAGAGGATCTAGATTGTGTTTCAGGGGATCTGGGCATCTGTCAAATGGGGAACACAATTCAGTATGTGTGTGTAATCTATTTGTTTTCTTGTTTTCCTTAAGGAAGAACCCATAGTAATAAACATCAATATGTCTTTCTTTCTCCATGGTATGCCATATATATACAATTTTAATTCTATGTTGTATATGTGATTTATTTTAATCACGTAGTCAAGCAAACAAAAATCTATTGCCAGATTCAGCATCTCCTCATGGAAAAAGCACTTATACATTTTAAACAAATTTTTTTCAAATTGAAAATGTATTAGGTTGTTTTGGACAAAATGGAACTGGGGGCAATATCTGCTAGTAGTGAAATTCATGGATAGATGATGTACTACTTGCCTTGTTTTGGCAAGAATAAGACACAAGCTTCAAGGACACCAAAAATATAAGATAACATAAATTAAAATAGGAAAGAAATGAAAGATGACAAAATGAGGTTGGGGACATAAGACAGGGCTGAAAATAAAACTACCCACATTAGAATGGGCCATAATTCTGATAACTCTGGAAGCTTAGCTTGGCTTGCCTGGACATCTCTGAAGTCAATGTACGGTTAACCAAGTGCAGCATCTGACCTCTCTGCACCCTGCCTGGCTTGTCTTCCTCTCCGCTGGGCTATTCACCCTTATATAATATAATCCCTTCATTTTACTCTGAAGGGAGAGTGAACAATCAAACCAGGCATTGTTGTTTCTTCTTAAAAAATAAAAAAACAAGCAAACAGACAAACAAAAAGTGGCTTGTCAGGAAACCCAAGTGGTGAGTTTTCTCATATCCCTCATTTTTTGTTACAAACAGTTAGGCGTTGCATTTCATTTTAAAGTAAGGAAAATGTTTTCACTGGTCAGTGGGCTTTCGGAACATAAGTAAATTATCCATTTTAATAAAATTGCCATCTATGACTTCTGGAATATAAACAGGTTTCCTTAAAAAAAAAAAACTAAAAATAAGGAGAGAGTTTGTGGAATAAGTTGAACAACAGGTGTATCTGGCAAATATTTAAGAGTAAATACAAAGAAATGCTTGACTTTAAAAGTTATATATAATACTCTTTTTAGGTATCTGTTTATGACCAAATGCCTGAATATCCAACACATAGAAATCAAAAGGGTTAAGGCTAGCTTAAACCAAGACTATTTGAAGTCACAGTATAACCTATTATTATTGTAATGAGCAAGTGGCAACTAATATTTGGGCTATAGAAGAATGTGAATAAGTAAGGACAAATAATTTCTGAAAAGGAAAGAGAAAAGCCCTCTGAGGACAAAAAACCAACTATAAACAGAAACAGGGCTTCTATGAAGAGACAGATGCTTACAACAACCAGATCTGGATCAATTCTCATGGACATACTGGAAATTCTAAAATATTTTAAATATACCTTAAAAGCATCCATTCAAAGGAAGCTATTTCCCCTCTCCAGTAAAAAGTAAATCCTGTGACCAGCAAATAATGTTTATGCTCATTGCTAACGGGAAAAATTACAAAATAGATTTTATCATGATGTTTCAAAAGACCGAAAAAAAGTAAAACAGAAAAAAAATCCTTTGAAATGTCCACTTAATGTGATTATTTGCCTTATTGCTCATAAATGAGGATGGAAAACAAATGCCAGAAAAAAACATGGCCAGAGAAGAAGAAATAGTGAAGGAAATCAGGTTAATTAGGATTCAATCAAAATTCAAGAAATGTGTAAATCAAAGAACTGTTTTAAATAGCCTGTCTCAAAGCACCAGATGCTTTAAAAGGCATTGTGCTTTTGAATTTTATAGTTATAGGAAAGGATAATTATTAACTTCAGAAAAGAATATTTTAACAGATCACAGTGATAACAGATAATTCAGCTTAAATCTCCAAAGACAGAAAATATGAAGTAGAACAAAATATATACATAGATGCAACTTATGTTCAATTGAGGACCATTTAGATTTTTTTTATTATTTTGCAAAGTGAAATTTGTCTTCCTGTGAAAAGAGGGAACAATCTAACTTTCTAGGAGAAAATCTGTCACAATAAATGCTATTCTAATAAATCTCACTATTTTCATTTTATATTCCTCATTTATGTTATTTCTAGAGATTGATTTTTGATTATATATAATCAAATGGAAAAACTATGATGTTGGATTTTACTGTCATAAGAAAATGTCTAGTTCCCAGAAGTTCCTACCACAGTCACTAGAAATAAGTATGAATCTCCCGTTGTGTGAATGACTTTGTATCAGCTTTCTAGAATGAATCATTTTGAGAGCTCTCTAAATGGCTAAAACATCAGCCATGTAACTAAGTAATAAGAAGGCGATATGTTGGGCATGATGGTGTATATGTTTGTACCCATGTGTTACATGTGTCTGAAGATGAGCTGGGTACATGTTTAAGAATGGCAAGATGGAGATCAGCTGATGCTTCCACATAGCACATATGTACATGCTCCAGAACACAGGCAGCTTTAGAATTATTTCAATTTGCCTCACATATAAACTTAATCAGATCTAAAAAGAAGTCTTCAAACACATGAGGAATAGGATTGTTAGCAAGCCAGGACACAAATTTCTAGGCGGTTAAGAGACAAGTGGGTTGATATTCCTCACAAAGTTCAAATAGATTTTGCTAAGAAAATAGTCTATTTTTGTTGTTGGTTTCTGGTGTACTTTGTCCCTGATATAAATATTCTTAACTGAAATAAGTTCACATGAGGATTTACATGATTGTCATTTACGATTGTCTGGTCCTATCAGCTAAAATAAACACAAAACAGAACTCCCATCTCAAACATTGCCAGAGGAAAAACAAAGAGTAGAAATCAATAATTTTTATGATGATTCCATTAAAATATATAAAAGTATATGCATAGATGTGCCTAGGGAAAGGACTGAAAGGCGATAAATTAATGTAGTAACTAAGGTTTTCTTTCACACATTAATAGTAGTAATATTAGAGGTGAATTTTTTCTTCTTCCACTTTTACTTCTATATTTCCCTAGCAAAAAGTGTACTATTTTGTGATATGAAGAACAACAGATTATTTAAACACTACTTATACCTCCATGAAATTTTCATTTTGGAAATAGAATGTTGCCCTCCTATCACATACTTCTGGTAGATAACAGAGCTGCGGGCTTCACAGACCTACCTTGCTGCAAGGAGCACACCAGTAAATGAGAGCCAGGAAGGGCAGTCCAATGGCAACAGCGAGGACCACGAGGAACTTGACTGCCATCGTCTGCTGCCTTAGACCGGAAAGGTTTTCATACCATATGGAGAGAAGCTGCTGTTGGCAATTTGGATGAGCTACAAACTAGCAGGGCAGTGAGAAAACATTTAACAGCTTGATTAAAGAACGGTTCAGCATAAATTATACTCACATGTTCTAATATTTAGCTTTGTTCTTTCCCATGAAAAATATTGTTGGAATTAAAGAACAAACATGAAACATCTAATTAACAGACATCAAGCAAGATGGTAAGAGGCTCTATTACATATGGTATAAATTTGGAGATTCCAATTTATCAAGCTTTTCTTTTATGACTAACGGGCTTTCTTTCAAAGCATATAAAATTTGTTTTGAAACGTAATATTATGAGAAGATTTATCAATATTTTCCACAAGGGCTTTTGTGATTTGTGTTTGTGCATGGTGTGTGTGTGTGTGTGTGTGTGTGTGTGTGTGTTTCTTTCTATTAAAAGTGAGGTTAAGATTACACTAGCCAAAATGTGTAGACTTTTTAAAACTTAGACCACATTTCCTGCACTAACCTAAAATGCGAACCTATTTTCTGCTCTTCCCCTTTGTATGTCAGTCTGTTTCTGGGCTGCCTGTTCCATTCCACTGATAGATCTTTTTATTCTTATGACAGAAATTCAACTAAGAAAACTTTAAATATCACTTTTTACAGAATTTTTTATTCTCAAATGTTTATTTTTTACAAATATTTTTCTCAATTATTTGAGTTTTTATATAAAACAGAGAGTAAACTTATTCAGTATATAAAAACAATAACCCAAAATAGAACTTAGTAAAGAATATTAAAATATTATATAAAAGAACTACAAATGAGTCTTAAGGATGATTAACTTTGAAAATAAATTAAAACTAGATAAAATGTTTATGTACTCCTAATGGTAAAGTTTGGTAACATCCATTGTGGGTGGAAGAGGTAAACCCTCTTATACACTGTGGGTGGGTGTAAACTAGTGTACCTGCTTGGAAGGAAAACTTAACAAATGTTTTAAATTTTAAAAATGAAAATTTGACATATCAATTCCACATCAGGAATTTTGTCTACAGATATAACTCATGCAAGTAAACAAGCTCCATAAATGTGTGCACTGTACAAAAAAGTCAAGATTGTAATAAATTACTATCTAAAGGATGGAGTAAACCTCTTTAAACAGTAAACTGATTAAACTGATACAACAATGGAGGCTTTGAAGAGAAGAAGTGGATATTTATTGACTGATACATGAAGATATCCAAGATATAAATTTGTGGAGAAAAAAAAATGTGACAATGGTTAGTCACTCTCCATTAAACGTTGGACAAAATAAGGTAAGCTATGTCTGTACTATTTGAATACTTGCAAGAAACAGGGATTACTTTTATTACAAATGAGTTCAAAGCCAGCCTCAGCAACTTAGCAAGGCCCTGTCTCTAAATACAAAATATATAAAAACGTCTGGGAATGTTGCTCAGAGGTTAAACACCCCAGGGTTCAATTTCCTATAGAGGGGGTGGTATGGGGGTAGGGAACAAAAAGATCTTACATGTCCTAGGAAAGGGGTAGGCACCACTGCATGAAGACAAAAACTGAAAAAAAAAATCCTTCAGATAACGATATAGCTGGAGGGGATTCAAATGCTCTAAAGAAGGAATTAAAGGTATTGGCTCTGTATTGAAAAAGATCAACAAATGGAAAAATGTAGTTGAGTTTGAAATACTCTAATGAGATCCCTATCATGCAACAATCACCTTATAATTTGTACACACAAGGCTATTTTTATATCATCACTTAAATCAAGAAAATGGCAATCACTGTTATGTTCTGCATAAATAAGTCTAAATTAAAAAAACTGACATGTGGTGCTGATTGAGTGCCTCTCATGTGTATGATTCATTAGAGAATCTGCCTAGTGAAACTGTAAATTAGAAAAACCCAGCTCAGTCTAACAATGCCAAGCCTTCATCCTCATTTAGCAGTGGTAGGAACTGAAATAATGAAAACGGGCTTCATGCCTGACCTTACTTTTTTTACTTCATATTTAATGGCAAGTTTTAAACGGCTCAGATTGGGACGGCTGTGATCACCCGGGTGCCGTGTTTCAACATCCCCATTCAGAATGGCTTCAACTTCTTCAGTGTTTCTGCATAGATCAAGGAGTCCAACCACAAAATCTTTGCATTGCATTGACAGTTTTTTGTAGTCATTCTAAGAAAAACAAAGCAAAATAAAAAAACAATAATATAGAAGTAGCAGATTTTACTCTGTTACACAGCAGAAGTTACCAGCGTCTTAAGGGATGGTACATTTCAAGAGAAAAATTCATCTTTAGTTTTTTTTTTTTTAACATACTTTCCACAGCATCATTTTCGTGCTTTGCATACATTGCATGCTTCATGGTCATAATTTCATCTAAGTTCATAATGCACATTTGATGGATCTTTGATAGATTTTGTGAACTGCTGGTAAACTTGAGAGACTGAACATTTAGAAAGGTTCCAGGAGAAGCAAGCACATATCAGTTATCTTTTTAACCAATTGTTGTTATCAAGCAACTTTATATGCCAAACACGGGATCAAAAGATGAGGTATAGATATAAACCCTAAAAATTGAGTGATTCTCCTTAGAGAAAAAAAAACTTATTGAAAATGCTTTCACTGTTTTGTTATTGTTCTGTAGCTTGTACCATGTGGCCTAATATTCTGCAGTCATTTAGAGAGTGAAAGTCAAACCCAAATTACCATAAACTCAAGTCATCTTTCTATACAACATTTATTCACATCTTCATTCAGATCTTTCTAATATTTCCTTTCTCTTTATTTTCTTAATAAAGGTCACACATATGTAAATTTTAATCAAGAAAACCTATTATCTAGAGCTTGTTATGTTGCAGGGGAATCATTAGTATCTCATTTAATCTTCACAATAATCTTGCTAAGGGTTAATAATGTGTCAACATCATGCAGCCAGTAAGTGTTAAAATTTGGTTTAAAAGCTAAATCTGTTTGGCACCAAGTCCCTGCCTTTAAAAATAATGCCATTTCATCTTTTCTTCATAGAATGCTTTCTTACATTGATTTTTTGAAATAAATATGGGGTGTGAAGCAAGTGGGGCAAATGCTATTCCCATTCTCACAGATGAAAAATTTAAGGTTCCCTGAAGTCACAGTTTCAGCAGGAAAGTTTGCTCTTAAACTCAGCTTTGCAGATTCAAAGTTAGTTTTCTCCACATCCTAAAACTATTATGTGTTGTAGGTTGAAAAAAATTCTTTGGAAGGATCAAGAGGAACTTTCTGGAGAAATGTGTGTGTAAGTGGATGTCTATCAATAAGTCAGTATTTGGGGGAGTCTATCCCGGGCACAGTTTCACAGTAGGTCTGTGTCAAACACCTATGTAGGTTCCTCTCTATGAAATATACCATGTGAACTTCAAAACAGTAACTTCTTAATAGACTACACTTTGCTAAGTCCAAACAGATTCTATAAAAACAAACTGAGAAAGCAAACTATCTCTTGACCAAGAATGGCCCACACTACTTCTAAAAGGGTGTCTGGTTGGATATTTATGAAAACAGGGTTATGAGGAAATAGCTTTGCCCCTTTCACAACATAATTGATTAGGGCCAGGGTATAAATGTTGAGATGTGGAAGTACAGATGTTGCCCGTCTACTATTTATAGTGGTTAGGATCCCTGGGCTTTTAGAGCTACAAAGACCTGTAATGAAATCCAAGCTCTTCGAGTTATTAGCCATGTGACCTTAAATAAGTTCAAATCACTCTGAGAGTGCTATTTTTTACACTCATTTTACAGGTCAGAAAACTGAAAGTGAATTAAAGAAGTGTTAAAGTGATCATACATGCAAAGTACTTCATATGCTACTGAGAATTTATCAATCATTCAATGAAGTATAACTATTTTATTTCATGTCATCCAAGGCAGAATCTAGAAACAGGCCATCTCTGTGTATTCATAACATTCATGGAGCTATAACAAAACCTGATGTTCCTAGCTTTACTGTATATACTGTTCAATTTTAAAAGTATTCCTTTTCCTTTAAAAGATAACAAAGTAGTTGCCAAAATCCATACTGTCTAGGATTCTAAGAAGGCTCAAGAAAAACTAGGTATTTTGAGAGCATATGTGATCCTTCAAGTGTGGGGGAAATTTTTTTAGCAGAAACTATGTAGAATGGCAAACTCCTATTCATCTGTGTGATATTTAATAACTAACCTAGACTTTTTTCTAATTAACATTCTCAAGCAAAAATACCTATTTCTTAAATAGAAGAAAAATAAAGGAATAGACTCTGCTTTCAGAAAAACAAACTTTTTTTTTTTTAACATAGGGATCCGTTTACAAATGCTTTCATATCCTAAGTTCTCTCAACTTGACATGTCAATTCATTTAAAATGAAATTTTGGCAGTAGTTTTTACCCAGTGTGTACCACTGAGATTGTGGTTCTTTGAGAGGAAAATCAAAGGTAAAGGGTTGACTTAATAGGTTGATTTAACACTGGGTTGTCTTTGGGTCAGACACATATACCTTACATTAATAAATTAGAAATGAGTGCTTGCCCATTGTCCTTCCAGTTGAAGAGATAACTGACAATAGTTAAAAGAATTTAGAGACTATTCAGAAAAACAAAATATTGTTAAAATAGTTCTTTCAAAATGTCATCCTAAAACCCTTGGATTTTATACAGTAGAAGAAATATTGTGATCTATAATTGTAATCTCTGAGTGTTTTTTCTATAGAAAGAATAAAGTTGACTTCCCAGGAAACCAATAGGGTCAGGAAAAATACAAGGCTTGGTTCTTGGTAATCAACTGTAAGAAGAGTAGACCTGGTTTTGAAAGTACACTGAGCCTAGTTATTAGTAATTGACTTAAAGCCTCATAACACTCATGGCGAAACAAGAACAATAATATTAACCACTTCTAAGGGTGCTGTGAAAATTATACAATGTAACAAATACCAGGTTCCTGGCACAGGACTAGTGCTAATCAGCAGTAATTATTATTATTTTCATTATTACATAAACAATATCCAGCTGTCCTCAATCAGTTATTATAAACCTTTACTAATAAAAGTAAAGGCATGTTGGGATTCCTGGATGTGATCTGCACTGAAATTAAACAATGATCCACGCATGCTCTGAGCATTGGTACTGTGATAGTACAGTCTTGCAAAGATGGAAGTTTTGTAAAATAAAAATCTGTACGTGAAATGTGAGGTAAGTAGAGAATATTATTATTGAGATGGTGATGAGTGACCCTGCTTCATTCGCCAGTCATGCGTGGGGAACCAAATGTCACTCTGGAACTCTCCTACTTCTTGGGATAATTGTCACTAAATGGTACAATGATCACTGAGCTCCATCTCAGTGGATGTGGTGATGATTAGCAAGCATTATGGAGGACCTATGTGGGGTTTTAAGAGACATAAAAGTTAATCAGATACTATTCCACAGGAAAGGTAAAAGAAATGGGGTATAATTATAAAACAAGTAAAGGAAGACATTTCGCTAGCTATTTCGGATTCTATTGACTTTTCTGTTGATTATTAGCATAGTAGTGGCTGCTTGTTTAACTCAACATATGGTTGGATAATCAGTTTTTATTCTTACCTAAGCATAGAAATTTTCAGGTCCTGTTAAAGCTATAAAGTTGAGGGAACTGTGGAGCCTCCTATAGCATATTGCCATACTAACTTCCCTCCCTGAAAGCCGACTTGTCATAACCTAAATTTCTGCCAGAATGAGAGTTTCTCTACCCCATCTATTTTAAGCTGTGAAAGAAACTCAATGAGCAAACTTCTAGAACACACACGTGCTCTCTCACACACACCATCATTTAACTATGTTTACTTGCTTACATATCTGCTTCCCGACTCAAATATTTTTAAAGACAAGGATTCTATCTTACTTGTCATTGAAACTGCACAGCCTAGCACACTGGGAGGCATAGAATAGGTGATCAATAAATTTTTTTGACTGATACAAAGAGAAGAATATGGCTGGGTAAAAAACCTATCTGGACGTTGAAAAAGTTACTTCACTTCTGGCCTTTCCCCCAAATATGGAGGACTTAAGTGTTACTATATCAAAAATTCATAGTGTAAATCACTTAGAATAATTCATCAGGCTCAATAATGGTATATCTCCTCCTTCTCTTTGGTCAGTCTCAGTCCTGCATGTGATTCTGCCGTGCAGACTACTTCACATGTCAGAAAGTTCTGATAACAATCATATTGCCTTCCTGCTAACAAAAACTACTTTTCTATTGCAGGATATTTCTCCCAAACAACACTAGTTATTTTTTAACATTATACACCAGAACATAGGAATGACTTAGAAACAGATACAGCACGAGTGAGTCTCTCCACCATCCCTCTTTCTTAAAGTCTGCAGCAGAGGCATCTGGAGGGCCATGTGCATGTCAGCACACTGACTTTTAGGAAGACATAAAGGAGCTGGAAAAGCTCCAGAAAAGCTATCTATCCAGAATGACAGTGATAAGGACCATCTTGCTATCTAAAATAAATTAGTTTAGGAAAGATAAAAGGAAACATTGTGTATTGCTACAAACTACAATGTAAGCACGTTCTGAAAAGGGCTTAGAGACCTAAGTCATAGGTACAGAGTGAGATACTAAAAGGAAATCAGAAATCTAGGGAAATGGATTTGTTGACAAGACTGACCCTGGTATTGATCTGTATCCCTTTAAGCTTTTCATTCCCGCTAAGATCTTAGACTTGAATCAAGAATATAAATCAGGAATATTGCCTCTCCTTTAATATCAAAAACAGCCAATCTGAGGATTCTATGTTTTATAAAGTCTGTGTGTACAGCTGAAGTTAGGTTTAACTCAATTTTAAGCTTAATTTGCCCAAGTTTTCATGCTACTAAAGCCTAAAGCTATTGATTAAGATTCAATAAAATATTGAATTTAAATGAGTAAAAAACTTTTTAATTCTTTCTAAAATTTTTAGTTTATTTGTAATTGATAGATAATAATCATATGTCTGTATGGAGCAAATACGATGTTTTAATACATTTATATATTGTTCAATGATCAAATCAGGATAATTAGCATATCCATCACCTCAAACATTTATCATTTCTATTTGGTAAGAACATTCAAAAGCTTCTAGCTCATTTGAAATATACAATAATACAAGGTAAAAAGTCTTTTGAATATTCATT